AGTCATTGGCCAGCAGCCTTGTAACAATATTAAGTCTCTGTGTGTTATTTGGGGCCCTAAAGTGGCAGCAGACCCCAGGCAGCTGGCAGAAAGAGTTATTGCTACACCCTGCTATGGAGCGGCCTTCTGCCTAGGATCCTGAGAAGATGCTGGTAGAAGTCATGGACAGAGGGGCAGGCAGTGGATCCAGAGCTGAGCTCATAGCCATTAGCTCTTCCTCTCTTTAGGGCCTGAGGAGACCCAGGTTTCTATGGGGCTGAGTGAATGCAGGGAGCAGTGTTTCTGAAAGCCCATGAGAACGAGTCACATTGCTCATAGGACAAGGGATGGCAGGACCATTTCACAGTGTGAGCTGTGAGCTATGGAATCAACAGCTCTCCCCTTTCAGGCCCCTGCCTACAGAGACAGGGGGCTGATCTGCACTTCCCTTTGTTTCTAAAGCATTAAATTAGAGGCCATCACAAAATGCCCAAGCTCCACAAGAACAATTTTGAAAACGAAAATAGTCACAATGCTTCCCTGGTATCAGATTCTACCTTTCTCGTGTTTTCCCTTCTTCCTCCCCAATTAGCCAAGTTGGATTTAAATATTTATGATGCTGCTTCTTGAGATTGCACACACATCTGCCAAGAAGAAAGTTAGAAAACGAGGCAAAAATATGCCACTGAGCTCCGTCTGCACTTCCTGGGGTATGAGGGACTGGAGGAGAGCCCAGCTCTGAAACTGGGGATCAAAAATTGGCTAAACATTTTTATGGCTTATTTGACAAAACTGTCTAAAAAATTATAGCTTATTTCATCCAACTAAATTCAGACAGAATTTAAACACAATGTGAGAGCCCAGGAAAAAAAAGCATTTTTCCAAGATAAACACAGAGTATTTGTGGCTGAGAAAAGAGGCTGATGAGCATGTTCCTAATCACACTAGGAAGGGAAGAGACAACAGAATCAACAAGCTAATGGCACATCCAAAACTGCCACAGTATTTCTGCCTCTGACTATGGGACATTTGTTTCTATACAGCAATCCAGTGCCTAGCTATTTTAAAAGGTGATCAGTGCTGGCTGAGCCTACCTCAGCAGCCTATGAAAGTCAAGGGTGTGACACTCACCAATGCCATGGCAAGGATTGTTCAACATGAACTGCTTTTCTGGTTTGGGGTGGGGTTCTTGAGTGGCAGGGCTATAAATATCTTATCTCAATGCCCCTGTTTGACTCTTCCCACTGACCAGATTTAAACCAAGAGAACCAAGCAGATGCCACTCAGGCAGCTACACATCTGACCCAGCAGCTGATCAGGTAGGAATCTTCTTCACGCTGTAAATGACTATAGGGAAAATACAGTTCAGGGTCTATGAGCTCAACTTCTAGGGCACAGAGACAGAAACACACACAGACACACACACAGAGACACACACGCGCGCGCACACACACACATACACACAATCCCTCCACACAAATAACTAAGACACATAGAGAAGTGTCTTAGTTAAAGTTTCTGTTACTGACTTAGAACTCTCAGGTTTCAGTCCATCACTGAAGGATAATGTCAGAGCATGAACTCAAGCAAGGCCAAGAATCTGGAGTTGGGAACTGAAACAGATGCCATGGAGGAGTGCTGCTTACTGGCTTTCTCCTCCTGACCTGCTCAGGTTGTTTTCTCATAAACCCAAGGCCACCTGCCCAAGGGTGGCACTGCTTTCAATGGGCTGGGCCCTCCCACATCAATCATCAATAAAGAAAATGCCCCACAGACTTGCCTATACATGCCAATGAAAACATTTTATTGATTAAGAGTCCTTCACACATGACCCTACATTGTCTCTGCTGACATAAAACTAGCCAGCACAGATGTGTATACAGAGAGAGAGAGTAGTCAGGCAATCAAACACATAGAGACAGACACAGACATGCCCAGAACACATATACATACATACACATATGCTCCTCTCATATATACTCCATATATATGCATACAAGCATTTACAAATACATAATACACACGCACAGATACCCACATGTACATACAAACACAGGAAGTCACATACATACAGGACCACACACACATACACATACCTGCACACACATATACAGACATACACACAAATGCATACATGTACATACAAATATACACAGGTTGTTAAGCAGTCACATACATACACACCCAACACACAACCACACACACATACACACAAAGGTATGCAGACAATAAAACTTACAGACTCACAGATATGCAATATATTCATGAATGTACCAAGACACACAAAAGGTATATACACAAACACATGAGACATAGACAACTAGGTACACTTGTAGGTATAAACATCATACAACTACATTACAACACATGGATATGTGCTCACACCTATACACAGAAACATAGTGATTCTTATACACATATCCCTCCAGCCATGTATAGACAAGACCAATATGGACATCCAGGGACACATGCACGCCAGACATAGGCAATGAGTGGCCATCAATGAGGTGAATGGGCACCAAGGAGGGCCTCTCCCCTATGATGCAGACTCCACCCACTGTAGATTGCTGCCTTCCCACAAAGATAAAAAATAAGCTTCTGGCATCACTCACTGTTTCAACTCCAAAAGCAATGCCAGTGCAGTTAGGGTACGCTGTCATTCCTCCTAGTTTGATGCAGAGTGCAGTTATATTTCAATCCTAAAGATTTATTTGGCAGCTCTAAGCTCTAGCTGTCTGTCTCCAATTTATCAATCTAAGGGAAAGTGTTGACAATAAGTCTCCCCCTTCCTGCCTAGATGAAGACGCCAAGCTGACAATGGCAACAGTTGAATGAATCTACACTTCCTAGATTTCCTCAAAGCCCCAACCTTCTGGAGATGTATGACCCTTCCCTTATGTCAGACATCATCATTAAGAAAGGGCTGCCCAACAGGCATGAGGCAAAGACCCAGGGCATAGCCAGATTTGCAGTTCAGGATTTGCTCTCCCCTCAGTTTTTGTCTGTCCCACCTCTCCTCAGACACTGCTTCCTTCCTCTCAGAACCTCTCAGAGACAGAGCTATGTGCACAGCCACCTGACACCTCTGCGCACGTGTGCTTGCTGCAGCGGGAGAGTCAGTGACTTTGAGCAAATGAGTCACAGGGATTTCAGACCTCCTACTCACCCTTGAAGGCTCACTTTCTTTTCTTCAAGGAATCTTGTGGAGTCTCTCCACACAACTACATCTCCACCATGGACCTCCTCTAGGTATGTCCAGCACACCACACTTCTATTGTCACCCTTAACTCACTGTTTCCCATCTGGTTAGCTGGTTAGAGTCTATGTTTGTTCAGATGGTTACCTGGTTGGTTATTTATTTGCTTGCTTGTTTGGATTGGGGGTTGATTGGTTAGTTAGTTGCTTATTCAGGTGATTAGTTGGTTCCTTGTTTGATTGGTTGGTTGGTTGTTTGATTGGTTAGTTAGTTAGTTGGTGGACAGTTGGTTCCTTGTTTGATTGGTTGGTTGCTTGTTTGGTTAGTTAGTTAGTTAGTTGGTTGACAGTTGGTTACCTGGTTTGTCATTGTTATTATTGTTTTCCATAACACTTCACAATGTACTCTATATTAAAATTTCTTACCATGAGAACACATAGGTACATCAATAGAAATGTGAAGGGTTAAGAAGAAAGTTAGTGACTAGGACTGTGTGATTTGGAAGCCCTGGTGTAGGTTTTTATGAGACCTTTCCCTGAGGTTATTTTCTACTTCTGATACTGGTGACACATGGCAACATGGGCTTAAGAAGCTAATTCTTAGATTTTGAATACTGAAGATAGTTTGAATACTCATGATAGTTTGGCAGAACTGACACTTGTAGGGAATGGTTTTGTGTTGGTGGTGGAGGTGGTGGTGGTGGTGGTGGCTTTTTAATGAGGATACAGGGGTTTTAGTCTGATATTCTACCCTAACATCCTCTGCTTGTTACTACTTATTCTATCATGAGTATAATGATTTATTTGCTCAGGGGAGTCAACATGTTTAAGACTCATTTCTTGTTTTCATTATTGGAAAAAGCTATTAAAGAATGCTAAGTATTTTAATCACTGGAAACCCACCATCTGTCACCTGATTGTGCCACCCTTTCTTGACATTTATGAGAAAACTGTTCAGACTTCCAATTGTATGAGGTAAGGTTGAGCCCTCAGATAAGACATTTATGAGTTAAGTTACTTGCCGCATGAATCACAGAACACAGCAATCTAAATTTCTTCCAGGCCCTTAAGCAAATTCCCATTTGATCCGCACAGCAGTGCCTCTGCTGCTGTCCACAGAAAATGAAACAGGGAGGGGTTGGAATTGAGTCACAGGGCCAGGTTCATTAAACAATTGTGAAACTCTGAAGCCATCATCTTTACCCTCGCTAATTCTATCAATGGTGACTCAAATTATCTTGCAATTAGCCTTTGTAATCTTACATAATCTGCCCCCCTTTTCCAGAGGCCAAATTTCTTCTGTGAGAGGCACCACCACACACACAATGATGATTAGAGAATTAAAGGCAGATAGCATCCATGGTGTTCTTACACTGACCTTTTGAAGGTCTGCTTTGTGGAGAACCAAAACTTGATCTCTCTGTATCAATCTTGAGTTTTTTGTGTGTATGCATCCATGTGCATCAGTTATTCAGAAGTCTGCATCAGGCATTCACTTTTTTGAGATAGTGTCTCTCAATGAACCAGGAACTCATCATTTGAGCTAGGCTGTTGGTCAGAGAGCCTCGGATAATCCTCCTTACTCCTCCTTAACCCTGCCCTGGTAATACAGGGGTATGCACCACTCCTGTCTTTTATATGTGTGCTCTGGGAATGCCTCAGGTCTTTGTGCTTGTGCACCAAGCATGATACCCACGAAGCAATCTCCTAAGCTTCTGGCTTTGTTTTTAACCAGTTCTCTTGAACTTCATTCAAACCAGGTTGTGAGTTTAAACTATCTCATTATGAAAACAATGATGAATATTTTTTTTTCCTTTCACGAGGCCATTTATTATCACAGCGCTCTGTGGGCTGAACAACCCCACAACAGTGGGGACAATTTTGCTGGGTGAGTGGACAGCTCCTCTCTCTGTCCTTTGGGGATGGTCTGGGGTAATTAATGGTTGCAGGGACTTCCTCTCCCTGATGCCAGGTTTACACAGTCCACTTCAGACACCTGGTCTCCTGGTGGGTGCCCAGGCAGCGCACTGTGCAGTACCTGGCACCGCAGCTTACACAGGTATATGGGGATGGAAAGCCACACACAGCACAGAAGGGACGCTGGGGTCGGGATGGGGGCCCAGCACAGGCTGTCAAGTAGTTGGGGCCCTCGGATACACTCAGGTTCTGCTCCTCTAGCAAAGCCTGGAAGTTTTTCCGGAAGCGAAGTTTGAAATGGTCACCTCGAGTTTTCTTCTTTTTTTTTCCTGTGTCTGCATCATCATCAAACTGCGGTAGCCTCTTGCCCAGCTGGGGGAGGCCTGCGTGGGGGTCATCCTGGAAATTGTCATTTTCTAAAGCCTCGAGCTGTCGATTGATCCGTCGCTGCCGGGCTGCCCGGTCCAGCACCCGCCGCTGTCCAGGGTCCTGGGAACGAACCGAGGGTTTCTTCTCCACCATTTGCGCAACACTGTTGTCGGGATGAATATATTTTATTGGGTATAAACACTTCAAAAAATAATTCCTTATTTTACTAGAGCAATTTTTAAAAAAGTACTGACCTGAGTTAACTAGAGTAGGTTATTGCTGTTCCAACAATGTTTTCTTTTTATTATTAATACAAATAAGCAAAACAGCAGTCCTGCTTAGAAATATAAACTTACAGGTGTCCCTTGCCTTACAGTAGTGTCTATGCCTTGATGAAACCATTTTGAGTTGAAAATATTAGTCAGCTACAAATAATGTAACGACCTAGCAAGCCTCCTCAGAGCCTTGGGTTCATTGCCACCCCTGAGCATTGTGGCAAAGTACTGCACTGAGGAGGCTTTGGTCAATTATAAATGTGAAACATCACAGGGCTTCATGACAATCCAGGGAGTATTCAGTAATGAAAGTTTCTTTGTCATTGTTCTTTGGTTACAACCAGAAATGGGGATGGGGGTAGAAAACAATATGGTTTTGTGTGTCTTTGTACATGTTTATTTATGTTTGTGCTTGCACTTGTCTCTGTGTGTATCTCCCTCCCTCCTCCCTCCCTTCCTCTCTCTCTCCCTCTCTCTCTCTCTGCTTTTTCTTTTTTT